AAACAAACAATACAAGAGTTTTCATTCTAAGAAATCATATAGTAAAATACAAGATTAACAAAACACAACAATTGATTAAATTTAGTTTTTCATTTCCAACACTCTCCCTAAAAACTAAATCTATCTCTAACATTTAACAAAACGATTTATTAAAGTACTGCCTTCAACTAAACCAATTTTAGATCGCAAAAATTCAAATCTAGATTTAGCCAAAGACTTCGTCATTATATCTGCTAATTGATTTTCAGTTGTAATATACATAACATCAAACTCACCCTTTTCATACATATCTCGTATAAAATGATATCTGACATCAATATGCTTTGTGCGCTTATGATACATGGGGTTCTTGATTAATCCTATCGCACTTTTATTATCTATACACATTACCGTACCTTTAAATTTCGATTCACTTACGCCGATTTCCGCTAAAATACGCACTTGCCACACGAGATCTTTAGCAGCAGCCGCCGCACTCACGTATTCTGCCTCGGTTGTTGACAGAGCAACACACTGTTGTTTTCGGCTTTGCCATGTCACCGCCGCACCATTTAGTTTGCAAATCACCCCCGTAGTTGATTTTCGATTCTCTGCGTCACCCGCGAAATCCGCGTCACAAAACACTTCCAATTTTTCATTCGTATGATAAAACAACCCAATATTTTGTGTACCGTTGAGGTAGCGCAAAATACGCTTTACTAACCGACAATGTGCTTGGGTTGGTTTCTCTAATGCCCGTGAAGCAATATTGACCGCGTATCCGATATCTGGTCTTGTTATAACTTCCAGAAACATAAGATTTCCGACAATCTCACGATACGGAAAACATTCTTCATTCACAGGAGATTCACTTGCACTCCACCCCGTTTCAATTGGAGTAGATATAGGATTAGAATCTGCCATTCCATATCTCGCTAGTACCTTCTTTACGTAATTAGCTTGACTGATAAAAATCGAACCATCATTTAACTTATTGATTTCCATTCCGACAAAGTTTTTCACATTTTCTGTAATTTTCGTTTCGAACGTACATTTCAATTTGTTTAAGAACTCATCAGCCTCTTCTGCGCTTGTTGACGCTATTAGCCCGTCATCCACGTATAATAACAACAGTAACCTTCCATTATTATTCACTCTAATGTAGAGACAAGGATCAGCCGAGCTCTCCCTAAATTCGCAACCCTTTAGAAAATCGGTAAACCGCTTATTCCAACATCTTGGACTCTGTTTCAATCCATATAGGCTTTTTAAAAGTTTACACACGCGGGTCGAACCATCTTCAAAGCCTTCTGGTTGTTTCATATAGACCAGCTCTTCTATATCACCGTATAAAAATGCCGTCTTTATATCGAATTGACGCAAATGCAAGTTTTCAGATGCACAAACACTTAGTACAGTCCGCACCGTTTCATATCTAACCACTGGGCTAAATGTTTCCGCGTAATCTACACCTGCATGCTGTAAACAACCCCTTATTACTAATCGTGCCTTGTAGCGATCAATCGTGCCATCGTTTTTATATTTTACACGATAAACCCAACGATTATCTATTACTTTTTGCTCGCCCGGTTTGTCGACCAAAGTCCAAGTGTTATTCTTCAGTAGCGAATCCATCTCTTCATTCATGGCTTCTTTCCATTGTTCACATTGCTGTGATGACATAGCCTCTTTGAAATTTGAGGGCTCATCTACCATAAGGGCGACTGGCACTCCATAAAAATCAGGCCTCTTTAATTTTCTTCTATCTCGCAGTTCCATATCACTTTCCTTTTTAGGACTGTTTTCAAGATGTGTGTCATTCTTGGTATTGGTTGGTTCGTGGTCGGAGTTCTCGAACACATCTTCTTCAATTTTCTCAGAATTTTCAGTGCTGTTATTTATTTGTATACTAGTCGGTGACACTATTTCTTTTTTAAAGATGACGTCTCGACTAACAATCACGTCGCGTTGTTCTGGTACCCAGACACGATATCCTTGCACGTTTTCTAAGTACCCCATTAGATAACCCCTGTATGACTTTTTGTCCAACTTGCGTCTCCTCTCCTTCGGAATGTGGACAAAACACTCCGTGCCGAAGACTTTCAGATGTTGAATATCCGCCCGTTTTCCACACCATAATTCCATTGGAGTTTGTCCTGGTATCCGTGTAGATCCCGTACGATTCAAAATGTACACAGCGGTATTCATGGCCTCAGCCCACAAGAAATTCGGAAGATTTTTGCCCGAATACAACATCGACCTCGCCGCTTCGACAATTGTACGATTTTCCCTCTCGACAACACCATTTTGCTCGGGTGTGTAGGGTACAGTCACCGAATGTTTTATTCCTTTATTTGTTAAATATGATGTCACGTCTTTATTAACAAACTCTTTTCCACCATCGCTTTGGACTTCCTTCACTTTTTCGTTAAACTGTGTCTCTATTTCATTTAGGAACTGTTTAAGTTTTTCTACCACTTCAGATTTTTCTCTAATGAAGTATATAACTCTATATTTAC